TGCCTGAGCTCTCTAACAGGCTCTAAACTCTTTATGTTAAAATAAGCCCTGGCCCTGCCTGGTGTCACGTAGGATTCAGGCCTGACACAGCACAGGCAAACCCTTACATGAAGTCTTCCTAATTAAATGGTGATTGATGCATCATGAAGCTCCTTTTAGAAAGTGGGAGGAGGCAAGGAGGGATTAACAGGAACTCCCGAGGTTGCACAGTCACAAAGCTGGGCCATCCATCCTGAAGATCAAGTGGAAATCTTTCAATCAGTTTATCTATTTCCATGTTACTCTCTGTTTAATTCAACAATTTTGTTGTCCCTCAGCCTTTAGTAATGACTTATTTGCCCCTTAATGCCTTGCCTTAGCTGTGCTAGCAGAGAAATGCAAGTCAGGATTCTAGGCACACACCCAAGCCACAGTATTAACAACGGAACATTTCCCCTGAGGCCAGTGTGATGGTGGCAGCACTCAATCTTAGAAACATGGAACGTTTGATCCAACCATTCTTCTCATGTAAGAGATTATTATTCCAGTACCAACAATGGATATTCTGTGTTTTCTTATTTTTAAATGAAGTGCTGTTTTCTTATCCCAGAGCAAGTTACTTAATTCTCTCAGCTTTCATTCATTTGTTCAACAAATATTTATTGAGCACTTACTAGGTAACAAGTAGTGTTCTAGGACTGAGAGTATATAGGGGAACAAAACAGACAAAATTTTTACCCTCAAGTCAGGGCGGAAAGACAATAATGAAAAAATAAATACATAGTATATAAGATGGCAATAAGAGCTACAAAGAAAAATAAAGTCAGTAAGGGGATGAGGAGTATGTAGAGGGGAATGGGGTTGCAATTTTAAATAGAGTGGTCAAAGAAGGCATCACTGATCAGCTTATATTTGAACAAGGATAAGGTATATAAACTTTTCAAGAAAATATCATCCCGGGGCTTCTCTGGTGGCGCAGTGGTTGAGAGTCCGCCTGCCAATGCAGGGGTCACGGGTTCGAGCCCTGGTCCGGGAAGATCCCACGTGCCGCATCACAGCTGCTGAGCCTGTGCTGTGGAGCCTGCATGCCACAACTGCTACGGCCCGCGCGCCGAGAGCCCGTGCTCGGCAACGGGAGAGGCCACCGCAATGACAAGCCTGCACACTGAAACGGGGACTAGCCCCCGCTCACCGCAGCTAGGGGGAGCCTGCATGCAGTGGTGGAGACCCAATGCGGCCAAAAGCGAATAAATAAAATAAATAAATTTAAAAAAAAGAAAAGAAAAAGAAAATATCATCCCATTGAAGCAGTGATGGCAAGTGCAAATGCCCTGGGGCAGAAGCATGCCTATATGTCTGAAAAAAAACAGGAGGCCAGTGCAGTTAGCCTCATTTGTAAATAAAAATAACTATAGCCATCTCGGAGGGTTATATACCTAGCACATTCTAACCACGGAGTGAGTACTCAATAAATGTTAGTTCCTTTTCCCTTTCTCATTCACAGCACCTAGTATGATACCTTGCATGTATAATAGTAAATACTCAGTAAATGCTAATTGAATTGAATTGAATTGGTATTTAATTGTTTAAAATATAAACTGAGTTTAAGCATCTTATAAGGGAAAATCATGGAACCATCAGTAAACCAGATAAAGTAATACATTTAAGATTGTTTAAACTGTGTTATCACTCAAAGAGTTTGCCAGGTAAAATACAGGTTTGAAGGCAGTAAGAACAGTATACCGCTTCTACACCCTTTTCCCCCAGTGTCATAGTCTGGACTCTTCTAACTCTACCCCCTTTCCAATTGCAACTAACCTATCTGCATTTTGTCCCTCAGGACTACTCTGATGCTTACCTCAAGGGTTCCCAGCTTAAAGTTCCCAAAACCTTAGGAGATCTATGAAGACAATAAATGGGAGTCCGCAACCTTTAGAACATCTCAGAAAATCAAATGGAATCTGACACCACCCACTAACAGGCTGTTGAGGCTTCCCCAAAACACCAAATTTGTTTCTGAACTATATCATCTCCATACATTACTTCACGCTGATAGAAGACTCTGATTAGTACTTTTGCATGTCCTTAATTTAAAAAAAAATTAACAAATATAATGAACAATAACAACAAAAAATATTTCCAAACATGAAATCGTGGTGGTGGATTGAGATAACCAAAAGATTCTTTCCGTGGTGAAAGTCTGAGATCTGCTATGTAACTGATACAATGCACTCCCTAAGACATGTTACTGTCAGGAAACAATGAAGACACTGTCCATTGCCAGAAGGAAAAAAACCCAAAAAACTACACCCTTACTCAATAAAAGAATGGTTTTGCCATGCAGGTACTGTTTGAGCCCTGCTGAGACAGCCTGAGCTAACTTTGCAGGGGAGGTGGCTAGGTAGAGGAAAACAGCAAGCCTTAGTGCAGACAGAACAGTTTTATATTAATCTTTGCAAGCAAGTCAGCTTCTGGCTCCCATCATCACCTCCAAGCCAAGATTTCCCTCCCTACCTTTTCTTCATCAGCTAAACAATATTCTTTTAATGTATCATTTTACACAAGACAGTTAGTTTCCTCGTTTATTCCTATAGATACTTAAATTGGATTGCTACTTCAATTGGAAATTATCTCATTAACATCTGCTAATCCTATGTGGAGGTCTAATATCTCTCCTTTTCATTCACTTATTGTGTATTATGTCACCATAGCTACATCTGCAACCTACATCTCTTCATCTTAAGGCAGGCTTCCCTTCTCTCTCAGGTATTATATTACCTCACAATGTCTAGTCGTGATCCTGTGCAGAAACAAGAAAATGTGGTCGAAGGATTTTAACTCTTGAAGGCAAATTTTTTTTAAATAAGGATTCCCTTGCTATTCCATGTCTTCATTGATAATTAGTCTCCTATAGTTTGACAACAGCTAAGAAAGTTTTGGAAATCCTTACCTTAGGTGCAGAGCAATAAATATATGTTTATATAGCAACAATTATGGAAATGATTTCAGGTCTGAATTGATTGGGTAACTCAAATAATTCTGTCAGTCAAAATGCTCTTTTACACTTGACTATTTTGCTTATATTCAGAAAATATTTTCTTTTTATAACAATCAGGTACAGCACATTTGTTTAACAAGATTGTTTGAGAGAACTGGGACAGGGATAGAAAATAGAGATAGGACAATTTTCTCACAGAATCAAACCAAATTAAGCAATAAAACAAAAGCAATAAGTAGTATAACAGTAAAAACAAAGACATTTTAAAAACACTCTCTTGGGCTTCCCTTGGTGGCGCAGTGGTTGGGAGTCCGCCTGCTGATGCAGGGGACATGGGTTCGTGCCCCATTCCGGGAAGATCCCACATGCCGTGGAGCAGCTGGGCCCGTGAGCCATGGCCGCTGAGCCTGTGCGTCCAGAGCCTGTGCTCCTCAATGGGAGAGGCCACAACAGTGAGAGGCCCGTGTACCGCAAAAAAATAAACAAACAAAAAACAACAACACTCCCTTCACAGTCTTTTTTTAAGTATAAAAACTTAACAGGTGGGCTTCCCTGGTGGCGCAGTGGTTGAGAGTCCGCCTGCCGATGCAGGGGACACGGGTTCATGCCCCGGCCCGGGAAGATCCCACATGCCGCGGAGTGGCTGGGCCCGTGACCCATGGCCGCTGAGCCTGCGCGTCTGGAGTCTGCGCTCCGCAATGGGAGAGGCCACGACAGTGAGAGGCCCGCGTACCGCAAAAAAAAAAAAAAAACTTAACAGGTGTAAACGATTTCACTGTCTATCTAGTCATTGGAGAGTCTGCTCATTCAGCATACCTTTATTTGAAGTAATTTGGTATTTTAAGTGGATATTCAGTAATACTTAGTAAATGTTAGTTCTACCAGATCTTCTACTCAGCCATCATACAACCTTGGGAAAGTGACATAATTTCTCTTAATTTCATTTTCTCTCAGTAAAATCTAGTTGATTATATCCACCTTATCGACTTCTCAGGATTCCTGTGAGAAAAAAAGTCTTTTTAAACAGCAAAGTATTACATAAAAGTAAGGTAGCAGGCGCAGTGGTTTACAGTCCGTCTGCTGATGCAGGGGACACGGGTTCGTGCCCTGGTCCAGGAAGATCCCACATGCCGCGGAGCGGCTGGGCCCGTGAGCCATGGCTGCTCAGCCTGTGCGTCCGGAGCCTGTGCTCCGCCACGGGAGAGGCCACAACAGTGAGAGGCCTGCCTACCTCAAAAGAAAAAAATAAATAAATAAAAAAAATAAGGTAGCAGTATTTAATACCTAAAAGAGGTGAGGAGAAAACAACTAGAAAGCATAGTAAATAGAAAATGCAAAATAAGTCTAACTAATGACAATAAATGTAAATGTTAAACAATAACAATATGAATGGTTTTAACTGACTTATTAAAAGAGTAGATAAAAATAAAATCTGATATTATTTACTTCTCATCTATATGAGCCATTGATATGAACCCTTGGTATTTTCTCTTTAATGATTCTATTCTGTTACCTCTTCTAAGTATATCTTAGCCAAACCAAGAGTAAGCATCTATTTTCAGGAGGCATCTAGTTTATACACTGTATGTACACACACATTTTTTTTTTCATAGAGGTCACTTTCTTGAAATTTCATTAGCTACTGAATTTGAATTAGAGGCAAGAAGAGACTGGGAAACATTAACTTGGAGCTTCACAAAATCTATGACATGAGGTTGTCAGTGCAGAATCCCAAGTCCCTTAAAGGTTCAGACCTATTATGTGACACATATAGCATTGAGCAAACAAGTAAGCACTGAGCGAATATAAGAAGAGTTCTCCTAAATCTTCATTTTAATCACTTTATCTCTCTTCTTTCCTTTTTCCCAGAGGAATTACCATGAGAAAAGGGCCTTATGACAAAGGGAAAGCATAGGAATCTTCTCAAAACCGCCAAGACAGGCTTTCACTTCAAATGCCCCAGATTGAGTGCTCCATTCAGCTAGTAAAGTCTGGGAAAATGGTACTATATCTATAGTCTTACCATTTCCTTACAAAGTCACAGGGACGAGGACCTGCAAAAAGAAAAGTAAAAGCAAAAATCAGATTCAGTAAGAATCAAATATATGATAAAAATAGCCATCACAAATCAATAAACAAAGGAGCTAGGGGAAAGTAACTATTTAGGGGAAAGACCAAATTAAATATATCACACTATTTTATCAAAGTAAACCACAGGTAAATCAAAGATTAAATTTTTAAAAACATTGAATTAGAGCAAAAATAAGAGAATACCTACTTAACCATTGGATTTTAATCTGCATTAAAGGTGACAAAAGATACAGAGGAAACATACAGATTAAAATATGAAAACTTAAAACTTCTGTGTGTCAAAAAATAAAACTTAGAATAAAAACTTGGAGAAATATTTGGTAAAATGATAAAGGCTTTATAGTCTTAATAACTGAAGAGTATAAAAGGATAGATGAATAAGGAAAACACTAAGGAAGGTGTCAAAAGTTAAATGGACAAAGAAGAGGAATTCATCTATGGAGACACAAAGGGCTAATAATCATAAGAAAAAGTTCAAACTTGCTTGTGATCAAAACAATGCAAATAAAAAATGAGATTTTTAAAAACTATCAAATGAGCAAAATTTTTTTACAAAGGATAACAATGCAGGGACTTTCCTGGTGGTCCAGTGGTTAAGACTTTGTGCTTCCACTGCAGGGGGCACAGGTTCAGGTTCAATCCTGGTCAGGGAACTAAGATCCCACAGGCCACAAGGAGCAGCAAAAAAAAAAAAATGCTGGAAGGGTAAGATGAAATGAGTACTTGCATGCTGCTGGTGGATATTTAAATCAGTACACTTTGTGAAAAATAATTTGGTAGTACGAGTCAGCAATGCTTATACTCCTTAATCCAATTCTACTTCTAAAAATGTACCCTAAAGAAATAGTTCCAATTGTGGGCAAAGATTTATGCACAAAAGTGTTAATGGTGGTATCTTTAACAGTAGAAAGCTGGATACACCTGAACTATTCAAAACAGACAAAATGGAGGCAAATTAAAATTCATGTTTAGAGCAACTTCCCTGGTGGCACAGTGGACACAGGTTTGATCCCTGGTCCGGGAAGATCCCCCATGCCGTGGAGCAACTAAGCCCGTGTGCCACAACTACTAAGCCTGCACTCTAGAGCCCGTGAACCACAACTACTGAGCCCGTGTGCCACAACTACTGAAGCCTGTGTGCCTAGAGCCCGTGCTCTGCAACAAGAGAAGCCACCGCGATGAGCGGCCCGCACACAGCAGTGAAGAGTAGCCCCCACTTGCCGCAACTAGAGAAAGCCCGCACACAGCAATGAAGACCCAGCGCAGCCAATAATAAATAAAATTAAATCTTAAAAAAAGAAAAAATTATGTTTAGAAGTTTTTTTTTTACTGTGGGAAAATATAGGCGATCATACAGGCCAAATTATCGAAAGGCCTATTATAATGGCCTCATTATGACCAATTGTTCCAGACAGTTTCTCCTTGGGAGTTTTTAATCACGTCTGGGAGTCCACCCTCTGGAGTGTTTGGGGTAAAGGAAAGTGGGTGTGCTCTGGCATCAGACAGACATGGCTCAAACCCCAGTTTTGTTACTTACTCAGCTGTACAATCTTGGGCAAATTCCTTAACTTCTCTGAGACTCAGTTTCCTCTCCTCAGATAGGAGGATAATGGGTAGGTGTGTGTAAAGATTAGTAACATGTATGTAAAACACCCTGCATATAATAGATGCAGACAGCAGATGAATGGTAGAATTATTAGTTACAACTTTAGTGCATCAATGTAGGAGCACTGTAGGAAACACAGCAATCAGGTATTGATTGGGTTTCTAGTATGTGCAGCCCGGTGCCAAAGTTGAGAGAACAAAATTTATAAGATACGGTTGGTTTCTCTTTACAAGGAGTTTACAGCCCACTAGGAGATAGGCTATGACCTTAAAAAAAAAAAAAAAAAAGTAAATGAAAATTTTGAGTTCAGGTATTTTCTATTACTCTCCTTTTAAGGCTAAACTGACTCAGACCTAAGGAATAGGGGAGAGTAGTCTACAAAAATGCCCTTGTACACAGTCATGCTGTCACTCATGAAAGATACAGCACTTGTTTTGTGGATTTTGATGCATCACCAAGCTTGGTTTCCAGCTTTATATACACAAGTCAGAGTCAATATAACGCTGAGTCAATCCTAAAATAACTTCTACAAATGCGGGTAATACGAATGAATTATGCTATTTCCTTTTGCCCTTTCATGCTATAATTTCTCCCACAGGTAGAGCTTTCATGCTTCATTTAGAAACACATTTTTGTGTTATCTCATCAACTGGCAGGAAGGAATAGCTCTCAGGTGGCCATTGTGTCAGCTATGTCCCAAGCAAAGCAGTATTACAATGGTTTCCAAACTTGTCTGCACATTAAGAACCACCTGGAAATCTTTTAAAAATTTTGGGTCCCAGCCCAGTTAAGTCACAACCTCAGGGGGTGGGACAAGCACTGGTACTTTTTGAAGCAAACAGCTTTAGGGAATACTATAATATTGTTTAATGGATAGGACCACTGGCTCTGGAATCAGACTGCCTAGAACCAAATCCTGGCTCTAACCTCTGATCTTGGGCAAGTTTACTAAAGCTCTCCATACCTTAGTTTTCTCACAGTCATGTACCACAAAAGGTTGTTGTCTGAAAGTTAAATAAGATAATACGTGTAAAGCACTCTGCATAGTGCCCAAAACATAGTAAATACACAATAAATCATAGCTATAATCCTAAAAATTTAAAAATTAAGATTAATTAATTTTAAATGCTTAAATTTCTGTAAATAAAAAAAAGTTTAAGTAACTTTTAAGTTTCAGTAATTGTAAAGTATAAGTATTGGGTTGACCAAAAAGTCCATTTGGGTTTTTCTCCAACACCTTACAGAAAAACCCGAACGAACTTTTTGGCCAACCCAATAATTTACTATTAAAGATTCCACCTATGAAAATTAATGAAATGAGAACCTAATTGTGATCATGTACTCACATGTATTTTCATTGGTTTCCTTATGTATTTATATCCTCCCCTCATTTCTAAAAGAATTTTAGATTGCTTACATAAACGCATACACTACAATAGGATATTATCTGTTTTAAGATGAAAAATTCAAGGAGAGATAGAAGAATAGTGGAGGGAGAAGAGAAAGGAAAATAAAATGAAACAAAAGGAAGAATGTATAATTAAAGCCTTGTAAAGTTATATCTGAACATTCTAATTCTACCATTGAAAGCAAAAAACATCAACTTTTCCTAATATTGAAATCTGAAAGAAACTTCTCTTGTGAGGTCTCAACGGTGTTACACACACATAAAATAAATTATAGGACTTGAGAATGAAAAGGTGAAGAGAATCCTATTTTCTTAGTTTTCTTCCTTCTTTAAACTTTACTCTTGATATATGCGTTTCATGAAACCATGATAAATTTTAAAAAATAAGAAGTTTTCAGTAGAGCACCATAAATAACTGAGTATAAGGAAAGATTTTACGCCCAAAAATTATTCCTCAGAAACGAGGTTACCTTGCATGCAAGTTCTTATAAAAACTCATGAGACACTTTCTCAATTACTTTATTTTCCCAACGAAGAAACGAGAAACGAAAACATATCAGCCTGAAACAACTTCAGTTAATGCTAAAATAATTATAGAGCTCTCCCTACAATTTAAATTTAAATCAGTATTTAAAAAGAGGGACGAGGTAAAGAAATTCAAAACAGATTTAATAATTATTCTTGGGGATATGCTTTTGTAATCCTAAGCGTTGGATGTTGCTCTAAATAATTAAGCATCATTTTAAAAAGCAAAATAGAAACATAAAACACAAAGAATGAGGTAGTTATATTGTGCAGATAAAAGTACAGCTACAGAATGAATTTTTTTTTAAGTTCTGTTACATTATATGAATGGGTTCTGATGGCTTGTTACATAATTTCTAGTGATAGCATCAAACACAGGTTCAAAAGGTGCCTATCTTACCCCTAATGATATAAGGGAATCTAGGCAAAGAACGAAACTGGTTGCTGAAACCATCTGGTGAAAGGTGGATGGGGAACTTTACCATGGAGGAGATGAGCCAACCTCAGCTGAACTCACTCATCAATCTTAGAACCACCACAAACGTCAGAGCCTGACACCGTATGCCCCCAAGCACGGCACCACCTATGAAAAATTCTTGCTTGAAACTATTTTCAGTCTAAGCAAGCCTCTTAATCTATATGCTTTGCAAAAAAAAGGGGAGCTAGAAGAGCAAGTTAAAGACGTCACAAAGAACAAATTAAATTTAGAATATGGTATATTTTACCCAAAGTTTCTAACAAATGTGTTTGAAAAAGGGAGAGAGGATTAGGGTAGGTGTTAAAGAGTAACAGAGGGACTTCCCTGGTGGTCCAGTGGTTAAGACTCTGTGCTTCCACTGCAGGGGGTGCAGGTTCCATCCATGGTCTGGGAACTAAGATCCCACATGCCACTCAGTGTGGCCAAAAAAAAAAAAGAGTAACAGAGAAGAGACAATGTGTGGCCCTTGTGTGAGGGCTAATTCAAACTAACCAACTGTAAAAATACACTTTTGAGACTATTAAGGAAGCTTAAATATTTAGCGGGTATTGGACGGTATTAAAGAATAATTGGAAATTTTAAGTGTAAATAATGGCATGATAATTATGGGTTTTTTAAAGTCCTTAGCAATGAGGAAGGCATATAAGATACTTATGGGCAAAATGAAATGGTGTCTAGTATTTTCTTTCAAACAACTTGTCTGATGAGGCCTATGAGTGATATTGCACAAGCAGATGACAGGTTCCCCAGCAAAGGCAGAATCAGACTAACAAGGCAGCTTATGGAACTGTGCTGTTAAGTACAATGTCTGGTACAATAAGTATTTGTTCAATAAATTAATAAATTTATCCTTCAAGAAAAAAAAATACTCAGCCATAAAAAGGCACAAAATTGGGTCATTTGTAGAGACATGGATGGACCTAGAGACTGTCATACAGAGTGAAGTAAGTCAGAAAAACAAATA